AAAGTATTTATTGAGCAATAAATTCTATTTGTTTCTCTCGTTTCCATGGACTGTGCATCGTTTTTTCCAGGAATTGAGTTCATCAATTTAATGGAAAAACAATCCTGACTTCTTTTCAACTGAATTCACCTCATCAATTTAATCAGAAAAAGTAGTCCGGACTTTTTTATTTTGAAAAGAAAAGTTATCCATTCGGAAAGATGATTTATCTACGTGTTAAAATGTTATTTGAGGATAAATATATTTATCAATAGAGCTTTTAAGGTATATGATGAGCGTTCGATCCAAGAAAATGAAATTTGAAAAGAAAATATAATCAACATTTAGTTGAAAATTAAATTTTCGATAAAAATCAAAATAATTCAGTTGAAATTTGTTTATATATTCAAGTCTGAATACTTCAAGTGTATTTCATAGATAATAGAATATATCAGTGAATTATCACGTCATTCCTATAGAATAAAGTCGATCTTGGATATCTAAATGGAGAGTAATTAGAGGAGTTGTTTGATTAGACAAGACAACTGAGCACTTCTTCTGAATTAAACACACTCGACTGAAGTTTCTATAACATGAAGCATAACAACATCTCGAAAATCTCTCTTTTTGTTATTCTTCCATATTTGATTGATTATAATTTATAATTCAATAGATAATCGCATTCTTCGTCATCAATGTGAAAATGATGCAAGCAGTTACGATTCATATGTATGTAGAATAATATTAACATCCTGTTTATTACAGATAAATTAAAATAAACAGTATTTTAGTATTCTGAATTCGATTAAATAATTGTTTATCATAATAATACGTTCAAAACATTTTGTTTTTCTTGCATTTATGTGTTGCTATGATGTATTGTATATTTTATATGGAAAAAAAGAAAAAATTAATTGGAAAATCTTTTCAATCTTTCTTCAACAAAGAAACGATGGAAACAGAGAATTTATGAACACATCTACGTTTGTTACAATTATAATAATAGAAACTATATGTCGGTTCACGGAAAAAAGTACATCTAAATAAATAATGATGGCAAGAAAAGGTAACCCTTCTGTGTATAGAAAAGAGCATTTCCATAATTACATTAGAAAAACTATTGAACAGTTGATGACGAGCGATTTTTCTTTCTTCTCATATTTTGTTAAAAAAGAAATTAAATGTCTTAATAACTACAAAAGTCTGTTTATTTGAAAAACAAAGATCGAAAAATTCGCGAAAACTTTTCCCAATAAGAAAATCTTCAATTGAAAATTTTGTTTTCGGATGGTACTATGAAATATTAAATAAAACTCTATCATACAATGGATAGAAAAATGAATTTTTCTTTTTATTCACAAAAAAGTATTTAAACTACAGGTCAAATGTCAGTCTTCTTTTGATAAACGTGACAATTGATCAAATTCTCGTATAACATAAAAATCATTGTTTTCCAAGTTTGTTAACGTCCTTGTTAATTTTTGTTTTGTTTTTGAAGAAATTAGCACATGTTTTGGCTCATTTTTGCTTGTTTCTGAAGAAATATGTAGGTGATTTAGTCCAGTTTGTTGATACCTTTTGTCAATCCTTCTTGTTTTTCAATGATTTTTCTTAAATATTTTTTTGTGTTGTTCTCTGTGTTGCGACTGGTCTTTAGAAACATTCATCGGCTCTTTTAAAATACTTTATTTACGCCAAGATATTGAATTAAACGTTCATTCTAAAGTAAAAAATCAATTGTTTTTAGCAGAAAAGAATATTTTTCATTAAGTTTGATCTTAGCTAAAAAGCATACTTTTTCCTGCTCATTATCAGTAAACCGCATATTACTATCTTCTTTTTCTGATGCAGAATTCATTTTACATATTGATCATAAAATGATATCGATTATTGTTGTGATTATTTATATTGTTAGCGCACGGACAACATTCCTTTGTTTATATGGAAAGGGAATGAATCGACATAAAAATGATTAGTCTATTTTTTAACAAATGTCCGGCAAGTTATTGTAGATAAGTTGTTACATGGAATTTATACGAATATCTGACTATTCATGCGACGACGCGTATAGAAGGAACAACTCTAATATCGATATTTATTCCACTAGTCTTTGAGAACTTATTACAGGTGATATGAAACTTGCAGTAGTGATTTGTTTTAGCTTGTCTTTATTCGAATTGGCATTGTCATTCATTGGAAGGTTATTATTTTCATTTGTTTGAGTAATATAATTGTCTTGTAGACGTTTCAGTTGAATTCTATGAGCATATAGTGCATCATCTTCTCTTGAAGGTTTATGTTCGTAATAAAACTAATTGAATGAGAGCGGCTGTAGGGTGTGAGCAGTGAATGAGAAGAATACAAACACACACACACGCCCACATCTACACCCGCGCTCTCACACACCCACTCACCCTCGTTTTCTATTCCAGAAACATTTTTAGCTCTTCTCTTCTTCTATCCTGATTTTCGCTATCAAATTTTGTTGTTATGATCAAAAATAAATGTTCATCAATATTTAACAATAGAATCTACAAAATCAATACCAACCTAATAGAGCGATGATGGTATTGTTTAATTTACATGGTGCGAAAAAAATGAGAAGCATCAGTGATATATGCTGAACGGCATGTGATCGCTGCACCATATATAATAGTTAACATCATGTTATGTGCATGAATTTGATAGTATAATGCTAAATGCCGACGATAATTTGCTAAATTGTGACAAAATCTCATTTCTAGTTCAGTTTTTTAGCATGCAAACCACTTTCAAGTTGATCCGAAATCGTTTCATTGAATTTATAGTGTTCACTGAAATATTCGATCTAAAAAACACAATTGGGTATAAAAAATTTGACTAAATAGAAATTCAATCGTATTATTTCTGTTTCAATTGATGATGATTATCTGAAAACTAGTTGTTAACTTACAAATAGTAAATGAATGGAATTAATAATTCTTTATCATTCGAAGGTTAATACGACAAATAATACTCTTGTCTATTATCCAACTGAAAAATGAACTAATGTTAGAGGATAAAGCTAGCATAGTACATCATGCATACTGCACGGCTGCTTTTTCCTGTAAGGTCTTGAATCTTTCCTTTTGCTTTGATCCAGTAACAGACAATGAGATACTTCTCATTATATACATAGATAGATCTTTTACTCTTATGCTTTCGTATCCTTACCCTCCTTAAACTTATACCCTTGCCCTTTGAATTTTAACCTGCCAAGAGAAATTGACACATATATATATACTTAGTATTAAATATATAGATGAGAATTATGCCGTATATCTATAAAATACATCAAACTACTATGTATAACTTGACTCCTCCTGCTCTTGCTATCGTTCGGTGGGATAGCTGTTCCGAACAGCAATAGAGATCTTTATATGACTCACTTAGTCTATGAGAATATTATTGACGAATGAATTAGATACATGAGATGTGTCTATCTAGAAAAAAAACAGCCAGAGAAGAAAAGTAGTGGCATTGAACCACAACAATAATGCAATTGTACTCTAAGCGTATGATTACTATTTATGATCGGAAGAAATCTGTTGATACTGGACAGCATCTCCCTTAAGCACGCCGACATCAATGTTGACTTAAGGGTGTCCCGGGTATTATTCGACTAAAGATGAAAGCGGCAAGGCTGAGATGCAACTAAAACGATACTTTTCTAATGATAATAACATTTACACATATAATTGCAAAGCTAATACAAGTTGAATATGTACTAATATAGATATATATGAATATTTGTTTTGTTAATATTGAAGTTGCATGATTATGCCATACCTTACCCTTCGTATCTCCTATATGAAATGGGACCCGTCTCATAATAGATATATAAACACTTTTGCTACGGAATATCCAATCATTTCTTCATTTAATATAATAGAAACGATAACAACAGATACGATACAGTTTTATTTCGAGTTTAAGGTGTGGTTAAGTGGTAGAATCGTCAAATCAATATCGATCATTATATAGAATAAGATACTTATGCGTAAAGTCATTGTGATTGTTTATTATAGTGACTTTTCTTTATTTCAGTGGAGAAAAGTGAACAAATAACGTTTTTAAAAATAAATAAATTATAGTTTAGTCTTTTGGTTCCCAGAGACGCATCTATGTGCCCCAATGTATTGATCGAATAAAAGCTTCAGTAATATTTTCTTTAAAGACGCTTTTTTGCATCTTTTCGATATGGTAGTCTATTATACATTTACAATTACAAAATGTGTTAACATCAAGCAACGTCATCTATTGACGCCATTTATATAACATCGATTGTCTTTGATCCTCTCTGTTGTTTTCTTTGATCTCTTAGTCATGGTTAGTAGCTCTTTATTATTCACTATATTAAGTGAATATTATTTCATACATTACGTCACTCATCCTCGGGTATATTTATTAACATGGAATCTTTTTCGTTTTAACCAGACATAATTTCTCACGTGAATTATAAAAGTTATAGTAAAAAAGAAATATTTGTATAGAGAATTTCATAAAATGGAGTCATGATATTTTCCTTTTTTCATTCAATATACATCGCAATTAAGCTAGTCCTCAGAAAAATGCATACATGATCTATAATATTTTTTCTCATATAGAAATGGAATTTTGTATAAAAAATAAATAAAAAAATCTTATTGAACTTGGAAATTTATTATTATCAGACCAAATAAAATTAAAAATAGATAAACAATAATTAAAGATTGGAGTACTATTAAAATAATGATTTTTGAAGATATTACTAGTATAAAAAGATGGTATTATATTTCTCAATTCTTTACACAATCATATGAAAATTTCTTGTATACATTATTCTTCGATAATAACAATATGACTAGTGAATGTATTCTTAGAATTACCGTTTACTTATGATAGATTTTTTCTAGTTTCATCAAAAGTTAAACAGATTGAAAAGAAACAAAGCAAGAAAAAACTAAACTTTGCATAATATTCTTATAGAAGATTTTTCATATGCAAATCTTTTATTACAGATAATGTTCCGTAAAGATTTTAAATCTAAAGGATATACACAAGTAAAATCATCTGATCGAAAAAAATTACGTCAACAATTTCAACAAACCTATCCATCAATTCCTGATGATATACTTTCATTAACTATACCTTTGGGTAAAGGTGAAGATTTCACATCATGTAAATTATTATTAAGTACAGGTGATGATATATTAGTTTATTCAACAAATAAAATTCCTTGGTTTTTTATTGTCGAAGATATTAAAACTAAAACTGAACGTATTCTACCAACTGTTTATCTTTTATGGAAATATCCAGATTTATTGAAATTAAAATTTCATACACATAAACATGTTTTTAATTATTTAATGAATGGTGCTGATTTAATGTTACCTGGTTTACTTTTACCACCCGGTGGTGTTACATTACAAACATTTCGTCATGTTCAACGAGATGAACTTTGTTCAATTTGTTTGGATGATAATCGATATCCAATAGGTATTGGTCAAACAACAATGGATGGTGAGGATATGTACATGAGTGGAATGAAAGGACGAGGTGTTGTACCTTTACATATCTATCAAGATGCTCTTTGGAATATTGGACCACGTAGTGAAGTACCGTATGAAAAAGAACAAAGACAATTATTTGTTACTGATCAAGAGAAAATTAATGAAAATACTGAACAAGCATGTGCTCAAGCTTCAAATGATATTAATTCTTTAAATTTAAATGAAGAATCAATATCAGGTAATTTTAATCATGTCTTAAACTTTAAAAATACAACTGTTGCCTTTTTCTTTTAGCTTCACCATCTAACGAAGTACCTGATCACCCAGAATCAATGGATGAAATTCTCGACACAATATTTTTCTACTTATGTCAACGTAAAGCCAAATCATATGAATTACCTCTTTTAGCATCTCATTTCTATACAATAATGCAAGATTGTGTACCTGGTTTAACACTCGATCTAAAATTAAGTTCACATAAGAAATTTTCAAAATTTCTTCAATATCAACAACAAATTAATAATCTTATTTCTCTTGAAGAAACTAAACCAGGTGTACTTGCTATTATTTCATTTAATCTAATTAATAATCCACAATTAGATCATTTTCGTACACCTGCATGGCTAAAAAATTATTTAACTAAAGCATCTAATACTCCTGCTGCTACAACTGAAAGTGATCAACCAATGATAAAATATACTTTTCCTACAATAACTGAATTATGGAAAACAAATTCACGTGTTAATGAAATATTAGGTTGTTCAACATCCACACATTATCTTCGTCCTGATGAAATTCGACAAGCAGTTCGATCATATGTTATGAAAAATAATTTAAATCAAGAAAAACAAGTTAAATTAGATCCAATACTATCTCGACTTTTGAAAACAACAAATCAATCGTCAATGTTAGTTAGTTGGAATGAACTTAATACTGCTGTTTTTGATGCAATGTCACCATCTACGGAATTATTATTTGCTCATCTTGAACAACCAATTCGTATTAATGGACATCTTCAATCAATTGAACTTGAATGTATTGATCGAAATCGAAAACGACAAACATTTATACGTCATTTAGATATATATCAAATTGATTTGAATGAATTGTGTAAACGTATTCGACAAGGTGCTTCAGTTAGTGCTGTTATTAACGAGGCAGATGAAGCAAAACGTACTGGTCGAATTATTATGGCACAAGGCAATCAAGTTTCATTTGTTACTCGTTTATTAAAAGATGATTATGGAGTACCTAGTAAACATATTAAAGAAATATGATTTCTATTCTTGATACGACAGTATATTTTTTAATAAATGATTGTTAAGATTATTATTTAAATTTTACTAATGAAGAAAGATGGTATGCATTCCCGTGTCTTCTTGATTGGGGTCATTTTTCCTTAATTGACGAAAAAATATGTCCGCAATCGAGAAACGGGGGATAAGAGAAAAAAATGTCCGCATTATAGAATTACCGAAAAGAAAGAAATCGACAGATAAGTGTAGGACATTTTAATAAATTATATAGACGAAATTATCGCTAGTAAAATGATGTGGTACTGGATACATGCGTGCTGTCCAAATCATTTTTTTCGAAAGTGTACGCTAGACATAGACTTATTCAAAGCAACCGAAATAGAACTAAAACAGTTCATAAAATGTCTATCGTAAACCAAGAAAACAGTTCCTTTATTGCCACACAATCTGGTAATGAAGGAATTATGTAAAAAAATTATCTTTTCAGAAAAAAACGTACAAAAACCATAACTGACTTCAATCTGCTTGTATTTCTTGTATTTTCTTCTTTCTTTATATACTAAAATTTGATTTCTATAATGCGGACAGTCTACTAAATTCGGTCATTTTTTCTCTTAGCCCCCGTTTCTTGATTATTGACTTTTTACTCTAATTGACGAAAAAATTTGACCGCAATTAAGCTGTAGCCATGCATTTCATTTGTTGTTTAAATATATTTATGATAATTTAGTCTACTTTGAGACGTCTGTCGATATTATTTCTACTAATCGTTGTTGTTTTTGCTGCCGATTGACAATGAGATGACAGATAAGATATTGACTTCATCTAAGAACTTTTACATGATTATATGTCAAATTATCTAGATCAAATAATTACTCTAAACTATCGTTAAAACCATGAAAAACTTAGACTTTGATTCTGTTATGTAGGGTACAAATGTATTTTAGGTCCAACAAAAGAAACTTTAAGTACACGGTGACCCAAAAACAAGAAAAGATAGAATTCTTTTTATAGATTAATAGTCGCTAAGTCTAATCTACTAAATGGCAGTACTAATAAAAAACAGCTACGAAATAATCTTTAGACATAAATGTCTATTACATTTTTCCGATACTCAAATATAATTATCACAACAGTTTGCTATTTTCTGTTTGTTGTCATTCAAATTTGTAGAATAATTAGAATTCAATTCTGTTGCATTTATAGCAATGAAGTATATTGGAATAAGATCAGAAATTAGCAACTATCTTTAATAGGCCAAATACTAATGATATGTTAATTTATTAAATTCGATGGCGTAGTTTAATACAGTAAGAATTATAAAAAGAAACGCCTCTAGTACTTTTAATAAAGCTTCATTTCATCCTTTCATCGATACTGCATCAATGATCTACTATAATAATCAAATCGTTCATTCTTGTATCAATAGTGTGTAATGAAGCGGCAATAATAATACTATCGGCAGTTTATCTTTCTGCCAAACGCGGTAAATAATATCCAGGATCGAATCGAATTGCGTATATTTAATCTTCACAAATAAAAATCAAGTATAACTTGAATACTCAAGGTTTATTTCATGTATTTTTATCGTCTCTAACGATCAAAACTTCGTTTTGTTTTCCTTGTAAAATATTAGTTTTCATTTGTAGAAATCAAAGAAATATTCTGAATTTTCTTTTAAAGTACCTAGAAAAAGGCATGAATTTAAAATAAGACAAAAGACAAAACGGGATAAAGTGAAGAAGTAGAATTTTTCGCCAAAAAAAGAACATAAGTAAGAAGAAATACAGACAATAATAACAACACCGAGAACAACAGTACAGAATCAGTCAGAACTCACAGGATATGGATTGAAAAAAAAATAGGTTAGACAAAAAGAAAACAAAAAAAGAAAGAAGACATGATAACACAGATCTATACATGAAAAAAAGAAAGATATTGCTGTAAAAACGAAAATCGCACAGCTATAAATAGAAGTCGAAAAACAAGAGAAAAAATGTAATGAAAACGCATATCTATGCGTTTAAAATATTTTTAAAAAAAAGAAAGAAAGAAAGAAGGAAAAAAAAAGTTTGATTTTTTTATGTTTCTTTTTTTGGTGTCGTCGAAATTTTTTTAAAATTCTTCAAATTCTTTTCCAAATTTTTCTGATGTTGCAATACGAACTATAAGAAAAAAACATAAATATACTAAATAATTCAAGAATAAATATCTTACGTGGTTCTTCTTCATATTCATCGAAATTAGTTGCATCACCTAATTAATAAAATGAATCAATAAACAAAAATCAATGAAATTGTATTTAACAAACCGGGTCCTTTAGTTTTTGGTACAAATGGTGGTTCAATCTTTCGTTGATAAATAGCAATCCAATCCGATGTTGAAAACCATTTATGAGTTTTGATATCATCAACACCATTTTTTAAATTTCCATATCGTTTCGTTAAGTCAACTTGAAGAAGATTACGTAATAAATCTTTTAAATCGTTACTAAAATGTGATGGAAATCGAACCTAAAACAATTCATTATTTTCAAAAAATGTCTATGAATTTTTTCGACTAGATTTACTTTTCCGGATACAATTTTTTCATAAATTTGAATTGGTTGATCAGCGAAAAATGGTGGATAACCCTAATCAATAAAACAATCGTTATTTTTCTCTCATCAATAGAAATAACAAAACATACAGCTGCCATTTCATATATTAATACACCTAATGCCCACCAATCGACTGCTTTATTATATCCTTTTGATAAGATGATTTCCGGTGCCAAATATTCTATTAAATATAAAGTACATTGATATTTAATATGAGATTTTTTGTTTGATTTATACCTGGTGTACCACATAGCGTCCAAGTTCGACCTAGAATTACAAAAAATGAAACTTTAATAATATCACAAACAAAACAAAAAAAATACTACGGAAGTTTCATAAGCTATGTTCATAAAAATATAGGTTACAAATATCATCTACATTGTAATTACTCAGACAAAAAGAAGAAGAAGAAGAGAGGAAATAATACTATGATAAGAAAAAGATCTCATTAGTCGACTAACTTCTCCTTATGTAACATAATACTTATGGCATCATTCTAATATTTAAAACTATTTATTGCTATTTAACAATGCCATTAAGACATTGTAACAGGAAATTAATTATGAAATCACCTGAAGTATTTTATTTTGTTTCTTGCGACATGCATCTATTACTACTGACCTTTTAGTACAAGAATCAGATTTCAGCATTAATATTTTTCTATACTACTAATGCACTTATTCGATGAAGTATTAAAATTGTTAACCTTTTGTTCTAAATCATCTCTTTAACAATACGCCTTTTTTAAATATTCTAGAAAAGTTCCTTGCGTAATGATAGATCTTTCTATATCCGTTGGTCTTTAATTGAGATAATCATAATATAAATGTATACCTTTAATCTTTTTGGCAAAACCGAAATCAGTTACTTTTAAATATCCATCAGCATCGATTAGTAAATTTTCAGGCTATAACAAAACAAAATCGATACTTTTAACAAAAAAAATTATTTCATTTATTTTTACCTTTAGATCTCGATAAAGAATATCCAAATAATGAAGATATTCAAATGTTAATACAATTTGAGCAGCATAAAACCGAGCATGTATCTCACTATATACATATAATAAATTCAAATGAAACTTTTCTTTTTTTTCCTAAATCAATACCTAAATCGACCAACTTTACGTAGATGACTAAACATTTCACCACCGGGTACAAATTCTAATACCATATACAAATAGGAATTGTCCTATTAAAAACACAAAAATATTAAACATAAAGAAAAAGTTTTTTTTTGTTTTACTTTGAAATGAAACTCCAAATTGACAATAAAAGGAAAAGAAATAGCTTGAAGAATACGTTTTTCATTGAGTGTATGTTCAATTTGTTTTAATTTTACAACCTAAAATAAATAGTTTAATTTTTTTGTTTATTAAATTCATATATAGAAGTACTTTTTGTTTGTCGAGAATTTTCATTGCATAGAAACCTCCACTTGATTGATGTTTAACAAGCATAACACGTCCAAATGAACCTGAAATACGACGAATATTTTGAAAAATTCATATTGAAATTATTTTTACCGGTTCCAAGCGTTCGAATACGGTCGAAATCATCGGGTTTAGCTGTATTCTAAAGAAGAAAAACAAAAGATTATATTGTTCTATAAAAAGAACTACTAAATATTTCTAATTTTAGTAAACTCTCTTTTTCATGACTAATTGTTGGTTATAAAACCTTCATACTTGATGACAGAAAGCTTTTTTTTTTTGGTAGCATTATCATTTAGGATATGAGCCAGGATAGAATATACCCTGAAGCAGTTTTGAAAAAGAAAATAAGCTCTAGTCTAACAAATACAATCCTATTGGATAGAAATCAATGTTTAGGTATTTGAATTCAAATTAATATTTTTCTCTAATAGAGCATGAGGTCTCAAGAATAACAGATATTTCTATTATTGTTTAAAAATAAAATCTAGATAGAATGTACTTAAATCTCGTGATATATACGAGTTTTGTACTTTTGATTATATCGATAGGAGGATTAATAAGATTTTAAAATAGAATAATTCATACCTGTTTTGACATTTTAGATTTTATTTAAATTCATAATCATTTCGATCTTATCTTTTTATATAATATAATTCTACGAGAGACGGAAATATAAGGGGAAAAAAAGAAATACTACAAGACAGTAGAAAAGATGTTGAAGATGTGAAGCGAGAAAAAAAGAAGAAGACTTTTCTCGATATGTTTCTTTTTTTCTTCTTCGTCTTCTTTTTCTTCTTCATACTCTAATTGCTAGCTTAATACTAAGATAGACACAAGCATTATTTTTTTTTCTTATTATTTATTGAGATTCATTTATTATTAGCATACCTGGCTTGGTTTATCATACTTGGATGAAAATTCATCTTTAGCTTTAGCCAAAAATGCTTTTACTAAAATATAAAAAGAAAATTAAGAATTATTTAATATCGTATGTATATATGTATAAATTCATGTTCAAACTTACTACTGCCACCTTCAAACAAAGTAGCATTGGCGGCAGCAGACATTGCTTCTTTTCTTTTTTATCAAAAAATTATTCTACACTTGCTTACACTTGTTTCTCTTTAGGTGAAGTTTCAAATGATTTCTACAGTGCACATTCGCTTTTTTCAGAAGTATATATATAATTAGAAAAAAAAACGCGTGCGTAGGGTGAAAAAGAAAGAGAACTAGGGTACTAAAAAAAGAATAGCCATTTTGTACGAAAGACCAATAAGAAAGAAAAACATCTTCATCAGTTGTTGCTAAAAGGGTTTGTAAATTTTAAAAGCATAAACTTTTTTTTTTCGTTTTTGTTATATATGACATTCTTATTGTTTCGTATCCATTAGCTATTAAAACAATATGACGATGACCTTGCAGGTAAAAAAAGAACCCAAACTTGAAATCGTGACATCTTAATTGTTAAACAAATAAAATCTTATACATACTCTTTTAAAATTAGAAACATATTTCCTTATTTTTTATTTTCTTTTGCAAAATAGAAAGAAAAATAATGAGCTAACTAAATATAGAAATTTTCATATTACAAGTCGATATCGATCTTTAGTTAAATAGATATATTTTTAGATAAAAAAATTTTAAATATAGAATATTCTTCGCTTTTATGATAAAATCTTTTAATAATAGAAACTAAATTTATGTTAATTTTTAATATCTTTTTTTTTGCCTCTATAAATATTAGTCATTAGCAAGACTTGCTTTATGTATAACACTATTGTATATTAACACAATATGTCAGTTTAGTAAAAAAGAGATTTGCCGTATGTTTGCTCTATCTCTCTTATTACCGTCATGTTTCTCTCAATAGTATACTAGAGAAGCCTTGAGAGAATCACTGATGATTGTAGTAACAACAATGTTGACGAGTAAATGAGAACATAAAAATAAATCAATACGTGCAACGTGCGAATAAATATGAATAGAAATCGAATCAATAACAAGTACTACCCAATAACACTATAATATAATGCTCAATCTTTTCTTTCTTTCCTTTCTTTTTCTTTTGTTATATTATTTTTTCTAATCAGGTTTAGTGTATTGAACACAGTGCAAGTTAGAAGAATTGCTACAAAAACTTATATAATTGGGAACGAACGAAAGAAAGAAAAAGAAAAAAGAAAAAGCATGTTTATGTGCGTCAACATGCACTAGCAATGGAAAATGACGTGAAAATCTTTCGTCAAACACACACACACACACAGCTGTTACATGCCACATTCATAATCGATTTTTATATGTACACGACACCTTTATATTCCATTTTTTTTCTCGTTCTCCTTAGATGACAAAATAGATTTACTCATGAGGCGAATACAAATATTGTGACGTACATTTACATGTTTACAGTGATTTCCGATGGATAGTTACTTTCATTTTTGTTTTATCAGAAAACTCTTGTCTTTAGTCTTCATCGAAGGTTGCATATATATATATATATGAAGAGGAAAAAAAAGCGGAAGATATGTAAATGTCAAATACGCAAACAAAATAATGTGACTGATCTATTGGCGATACATAACTATTTTTTTATATGTATATATGTCAAAGAATGAATGCAAGAAAAATTTAAATACCTCTTTCAAATGATTGAGCAGAGGCAGATGAAGCACTTGCTGATATCGACGATGATGACAATGATCCTTGATGATGATGTGAATCGCTTAGTGTTGAGTGCTTACCATCGGCTGAAGCACTAGCTTTAAGTGAGGATCCATCTTTATCTTTATCTTTTGATTTGGATTTATCACTTAATTTTGAAGATATACGTTCTCTTAGTGCCTGCATAACAGACAGAATAAGACTGTCTGTTCGAACGATGTAGTGCTAATAAGAAGATATTTTCTATGTGTATATTCTACACACTATTTCTTTGTCCTATATTGTTAGGAGAGTAATATCGGTGGGTTGTTGTTGTTGTTGACGTTGTTACTTTTTTTGCTTGTTTTGCTCGTGTCGTCAACGATGATGATAATGTTGGTATAGTGTAGACGCACGGGTAGTAAGCAGTCAAATGAAGAGAAAGAGATAGAGTCTATCGGTTTTTTTTTGATTTCTTGTGTATGAGCGTGGCGCGGCGACGCGAGAGATATTTATCGCAATATCTTTCCGACACAACGAACGAACGAACGAACAAGCGAGCGAGCAAACGAACGGCGAGAACGAGAAAGAACGAGTGTCTAAATACGCATAGGATAGGAAGAGAGAGAGACAGAGACAGAGAAAGAGGGAGAAAGCAAGCGAAAAGAAATAAGCATGTATATAAGCTGGGAAGTATAAAAAGAAATACAAAAAAAAAGAAGTTTCACTCTTTTATATGTATACATATATATTTATTGATACAAATACAAAGATATAATGATTATGTTACTAAAGTTTCGAAAGATAAGGATGTATCCTTATTGAGTTTATTTGCTCATCTGATATTTTTTTATTTATGCTTTTTACGTTAAAAATAGATCTCGAACATTTATTTCACACTTTTATTTTTGCTTTTTGCAATTACTTTGTTTTTATATATTAGTGAGTGTAAAAAGCCTGTTGACACTGTTACTCTTACTCTCTCATTCTCCATTGCATTTACAGGTACTATTTAAATATATTATATTATAAGCATGATTTAATAGTTTCGACCTTTAGTCATATTTCTATGTTTGCGCATATGTTTTTTTTAATACTAGATCAATTTCTATTTTGATGCGAAATATAATTTATCGAATGAAAATTAACTTGACCTTGGATGTAGAGAGATATAATCAAAATGAAAAAAGGATAATATGATAATGCTCGGTGAAGCGTCACACATGTGCGAGTGCATATGAGACAGTGATTATTTTATTTGATTTGGTGGGTGGAGTTCATCTCTTTCTCCAACGATAGTCATCGACTAATGTCTTTATACACATCATAGTGATTGCTTGCTCGAGGGAGTTCAGTTATGTATATATGTAGAAAAAAAATCTTAGGTTGAATGTATGAGAAGAGAACATATTTCGATGTCTACTAATAATCAGATTAACAAATTATTTCAGTCTGAGGTCCTTCTATTCATTCTTCGTTTGTTTGAGTATCGATTATTCTTTATATATATATATCATATTATCAATAGATGGCACTACGTATCATCATCGTGTCATCGGGTTCTTCGTTAAAATTTTGATAACAATTTTTCTCCACTAAAAAATATAAGTAACAAGTTCTTATGCCTCGAATACTTATATTATTGATAATAGTATATCCATATGACAGTTGATGATTGAGAATAAACGACAAGAACTTGTATGAAAAAAAGAAACGCTAAAACTCTTTGACATTTTGCATTTATCATTATCATATAACAAAGAATAAGCAGAAAAATCGAGTTTTTCGTTATATATATATCTAGGTCCTTCTCACTAGACATTGATTTATTATATGACGCTTTGTATTTCCTTTACGCTTTTCAAATCTAATGTATTACGACATTTCTTTTCCTGTTTCCTCATTAGACTGCCTCCGTGCGTATAGTAATGAAGAATCGTATTATAATGGTAAAATTATTATTATAAAAAAAAACGTGTTTTCTTTACTATATAGATTTATAAAAGTATTTCAAGATTACGAAAGAAATATATATATATAATTCAAGCATAAACTATCTATTTCATATGCTTGAACGATTAACAAACTAAATAATATTATCATGTAAATGAAAGAAAAATAGGTATTACCTAGTCTTTTATCTTGACAGTACTTATTAAATAATACGAAAGAATGATGTTTGACAAATCTTTCTATGTACTTTTTTCTCAATGTTTATCTCTTGTTTACATGTCAAGTATGGTACTAACTAAGAAGGATGTTTGCTAAAATAAACATGAAAACGGAAATGTTTCATATTCAATTCTTTTTCTGCTCTTTTTGCACAGATTTGATATAATTTTATGTTTCATTTAATAGTATTTCTTGGTTGTTATACCAGAAAATTGACATAGTAGTTTTTTTTTCTTCGTCTTCTTCTCCTCAACATATGTGTTAAGATAATTATTTTCATCTTATGCATAATAATCAATAAAATATGTGGGTGATAAAAAGCTAAATTTAGAGTAATTCTATCTATTGAAAACTTAATTAAGTTTAGTTCGTATATGATCATATTATCTTTAAAACAAAATTAATCTAAAAGATATTTGATATATTTCGTTGTAAAAAGAGATATAAAAGAAAAAACTATTTTTAGTCATATTTTATAATATATAGAGAACACAAGATCACTTACTATAATCAACTGAATAATGAGAATGATGAGTAGATAACGCTCCTGAACCAGTATGATCATCAATAATTGTTGATGATGTATTTGTTGTTGATGTTCCACCACTAGCAACTTCATCAGTACCTGTAGCGCCTGCTTCTTTGTTTTTTTTATATTTACGAGATGATCGAAAGCGTTCTTTAAATGATGGCATTGTAGAATGATAATGATGTGAACATACGATACTATTCTCAACACTGTCAAAGTCTGTAACTCTTCTATATTTTTTTTCTCTTTCCCCTCCCCTTCTCCCTTTTTTTTTCTTCTTCTTCTTCTTACTCTTTTTTTTCTTCTTTACACAATAGTGGCTGAACAACAGACTAAAGTGAGCGTCACAATATATTACTTCTTCATCAGTGTTTTTCTATTATTTAGTTTTCTTTTCTTGCCTTTTGCTTTCTTTCTTTATCGTGTCATGCACGCATACGTTAAGTTATATCTATAGTTACAAGTGGTATGCTATGAAAGTCATTTCTTCTTTCGATTCATTTCCGTTTATATTAGATGATAAGTGTCACACGAATTTAGTGCAAACTAACAATGTTTCTAGTCTTGTTTTTTATGCTTAACTGTATATTACCCGTCAATATAAATGATAAATATAATCTATCGGGAACAGTTTATACATTTATATGTATTTTCATTTTGTGTGTGTGTGTTTTTGTATTGCACCATTCATTCTCAATCCTCTGAGAAAATCTTTCAGAAAAGAAATAGAAATTTACTAATAGAAAAAAAAAGCAATTTCTCTTTGTCTCATATATTACTAAACGAAGATAATATTAATTCAAACCTATACGGAATTATTTTCATCGATTATTTGTTTTGAATGATACAAAAGAAAATAGCATGAGATTAAGAAAACAACTAAATACAATTATTATTATTATTATTATTACTATAAATAAAATCAATATAAATACATGATAACCATATAAAATGAATATTTTCTTCTAGTTTGTTTATACATAAAATCAACTACGTTAACTAATGAAATTATTTTATCGATATTATAACAACAGACCTTGACTAAGTTTGTTGCTTGTAATAATTATGTGTAAACAGTCACAAAAGCTGATTTGAAATAAATTTTAGATAACCATTAAATAAACAGAATGTTATTTAATTGAAGAATTACTATTCAATTTCAATTATGATGATTAATATAGCAGTAACTATATTTAACTAAGTGATTTTGTTTTAGCCCTAGAGAAATGAATGAATGGTTAAATTAGAGACTAACAAAATATGTTTTAGGGTATTACAGAATCTAATGCGTTTTCGATTAATATCAAAAAAACAAATTAGCGTTTGCGTAACCTTTTCATGAAAAAAAAGATATGCTCTAGAAAGAACAATATCGCCTTGATCTAAGCTATTTTCATATGAAGCTTAACGAACGATTATTAAAAAAACCATATTTTAACCTATTCGAAAATTCTGTTTATTTTTAGATTATCCGAAGCATATATATATATATTTTCTCTGAACAATAGAAACAATACTTCTAATATAATAGAATGAAATCATTCGTCGGAAATTAAAAAAATTTTAATTCATAAATATATCTAAGTTTTTGAGTATATTTCGTAAGGTTTGATTAGAATTACTTAATGCTCATATTCTGCAAAGTTATATAATAAAATCGTAATCTTAATTTTAGTGATTCGACTGCTATGAATGATGCATTAATTGAGAATGCAATTTGTTTTTAAATTACAATGTTTCGCAAATCATCGATCTTCTAATAGGATTTTATGTGAATGACGTATGCAAAAAGCTTTTGCGGTTAATATTGACTAATCAATATTGTTGGAAAGATCAAGTGGTTAAGCAGAAGTACTCTGAACTAGGTCAAACCTCTGTCAATAGATACAATAAACGATTATTGAAGGAAAAATATTGGATTTAATGACGTCAATTTATGTCATAGGAAAATGTAGAGTAGAGTCCTTTCTCGAGAGTTAACAACTTCTCAACCGATTATTGATTCGACCGGGAACACATCCTTAAATTTATTACGATAGTAACGATTTATCGAAAAGTTTGTTGCCTCTCTTCAAACTAGGAGTTAGAATCAGAATTTTATGCGCTTTCTCAATAATTATACACGTTTTTTTCGCTTAAGATTAATAAGGAAATCTTGGACAGGTCTGAAAAAATAGTCTGGGCGGAAAATTTTCTCGTACGCTTTTGTATTTTCACTAATTGTGTTCAAACTTAAATACTAAAATTTTTCTTTACATATCGTAAAGAATAGTTCGCTCTAGAAAGTTATTAAATTGAATCATTTTTGCACAGGGACTTACGGAGGTTCCAAACGTCTATATGCTCATCATTCACATCAATTTTTCAGGCCGCCCAGACAGACAAGACATCTAAAAACCCGCGTCTAAAATTCGTAAATACACCGTTTTTACGAATTCTTAACGCGTTTCTACGCAATATTTTGGAAAGCGTTAAAATCTACGTCGTAGTTACTCGTTGAAACGCGGAATTCAACGTGGTTTTACACGTTATTTTGTGAGTTTTAACGCGTTAATCACAGTAGACAAAGCTAAGGGAGATAAAACTCGTAAAAATGCGTGCTTTTCCTGATTTCATTTTCGTTGAAATTTTAAAATTTCTACGCCGTATTTCTCCGTTTTTTTTGAGCTTTGTCTGCCTAGGCGTTCGAAAGATTTTCTCACTGTCTTATGACAAAAATGGATACAAAATTTCCGAGATTATATTCAAAACGAACACAAAATTCTTGTCCTAATCTCTCGCTTTTTACTCGTCTAAAACATTTTATTCAAAAAAATTTCGATAGACTATTATAACCTTGTTAAACTTTTATCCCTAGACGTTAGAATCCATAAATTTCAATTCCGACCTAATCCTATAAGATTTCATCGCTCTACATTGACAGGTCATCAAATCCGATAATTAAATTTTTTCTTTCTTTTTTTTTAATAAAAACTATTTTTCCTAATTTCTCATTATAGACAACACTATTGATTATCAAATATATTCATTGTATATCAATCATTTAAAATTTGATTTTATCAGAAAAAAAAATATCCAAAAGGTTAATGAAATCTAACTAATGCACAATGTGCTTTTTCAAAGATGACAGGGGATTAAAATGACACTGATAATATGTTAAATTATTTCCAGATATGATTAAAAATAAAAGAACAAATCAGTAATGAGAACATGAAAAAGCATGCATGATACCTAGATATATGAATGTATCTTGTTAAATTAAGAAAATATTCATAATCTAAATAAAAAGTCTACATGCACACTATAAATATTTTATTTAAAAATTTATCAAAAAATACAAAACATAACTAATTAGAGTAATTATAAAAATACTAAATTTATATTTTGAATACGATTAGTAGATATTTCTTTTATCTTATTCTTTATCAAATGTAATTGATGAATGATAAAAAAATCAAAGATAATTGAATAACATGAGATTTTAATATAGAAATCATAACATTAGAAAATTCTGTTCTATACAATCTTAGTATATTTATATATAATAAAGAAAAGCAAATGGTAAGAAAACAAAGTTTCAGCTAGTTGTTTTGACACATGTGGATATTTATTTATTGACTAGGAATTTTTTATATATGACATTTTAAACCTTATATTGGCCTTGCACATACGACTATATTGTATTTCTCATTAGTTATCCAGAGAAAAGATAC